TATAGATTTAATTTTAACATAATGTCATTTCATTGTCCAAAACTAAATATTTATTAAATATTTTACATAATTTTACTAATTATGTAGTATTTGTTACCATATTATGAGTAATTATTAGCTAAAATAATTATTTTTAAAAAAAAAAAGCTAGTCTAAATAGTATAACTAGCATACCTAGACCAAGAGGCTGTTGTGTAAACAGAGCAAGGGAACACTAACTACATTATTTAAAATTAAGAAAATAGTGTGTCAGAGTTGTATTATCTCCATAGCTATTCAATTTGATGCTGAGCAAATTACTGCAGACACTGGATTGTATGAAAAAGAATGTGGAATCAAGATCAGAGGAAGGCTCATCAGTAACCTGTGTTATACGGACGACACAACCTTGCTTGCTGAAAGATAAGACTGGAAGAATTTGTTGCAGAAGATCGAAGAATACATCCTTCAATATGGATTGCATATCAATGTCAAATAAAAATTCTTACCACTGGATCTATACACAACATCATGATAGGTGGAGAAAAGATTGAAACTGTCAATAACTTCATCTTATTTGGATTGCCTTTGGTGCCAGTAGTCAGGAAATCAGGAGACTTATTACACTGGAAAAGTCTGCAGTCAGGGACCTTCCCAAGTTCTTGAGGAGTAATGGTGTCCGTTTGAGGACTAAGGTACATCTGGTTCAAGCTATATTGTCTTTCCAATTACTTGCTATGCATTTGAGAGATAGGTAATAAAGATGACAAAAGAAGAATTGATGCCTTTGAGCTATGGTGTTGGAGAAGATTATGGAACATTCCTTGGACTACCAAAAGAACAAACAAATATGTCTTGGAAAGGTGGAGTCAGATTGCTCTTTGGAGGCAAACATGATAAAGCTTCTCTTCATATACTTTGGGTATGTTGCTAGGAGAGGTTATTCTTTGGGAAGGGACATGATGTTTGGAAAAAAAGGAGGGTCAGTGAAAGAGAGGAAGACCTTCAACTAGGTGGATTGACACAGTGACTGCCTCAATGTCCTCTAGTGTGTCAGGAAGTGTGAGGATGGCATAGGACAATACAGGGTTCAGATCTGTTGTTAATAGGGTTGCTATGAGTCATACTCAACTCCCCAGCACCTACAAACATTCCAAATAAGGTAAAGACATATTCCTTTTCAAAGAGGATTGTAATGCCTAGAAGTGTTTATCAACTAGTTCATGTTCTAGAAGTATAAAATAAAATCACATTTTTCATTGTGTTGTCTAAAACTTGGGAATATCCAAGTAGTGTGTCTGTAAAATAGAGGATGAAACAGAGTAAAAAAATTGAACTAGCTTCTCCAAGGTATTTGACTCTGTTTAAAAAAAAGAAAGAACTGGATTCACTAACGCTTAGGACCCTATCCTGCCTTCGCTTCCCAGGAAAATAGAAACTGTGACTCTATGTCTATTATCAAAATCATCCTCTGTGAGGCTAGTACAAACATGATTCATATTTTCTGGATGACTCTTTCCAGTTTTCCTGTAAAGAGGAACATGTTTGGTCTACCCATTCCCTCACGTGTAGCTGAGCTGTTCTCTGAGCTGACCAAGTAGGAGAAGTACTACATTGCTACTGTCTTTCCCCTCCCCAAGCAATTTGTGGTATTGCTTAACAAAGAACAGCAAAGCTGTGAAAACATTTTGAGACATGTTGCAGCCATAAGCAAAGGTTCTTATTCATGCCAATTTAAACGTACATCCTTTGAAATAAAGGTTCCAATTGAAATGTGTAGAATCCAAAGATTCTGAAATTGTCTGTCATAGCGACTCATTTAGTTTAGATTTGTAATTGCTTCTTGATTATAACCTTTGAAAATAAACACTGTAATAACTCCACATTTCTTTCAGGAGAAACCACAATTCTCGGCCAGGTAGAAAGCTAAATTTACCACCACATAAGTTTCTTTGTGCCAGTAATTTATCACTATTTACTTGTGCCAACCTTTGTTAGTTTCTAGTGGAGTGGAGTGTTGTACACCTTTCAGAACTGAGTTGGAAGAGGGGTGGGGTGTCAATCTTGGCTCTTCCACAACTTATATAACCAAAGTTGTTGCTGTTGAGTTGAATCCAACCCCCATGTTTGGAATAGGGCTACCTCCCTAGAGTTTTCCTGACGGGCACCTTTCAGAAGTGGACCGCAAGGCCTTTCTTCAGAAGGAAGGACCTCTGTGTGAATCAGGACCACCAGTCTTGGTCAAACAACTTGACTGTTAGCACCACTCAGGGATGTTCATTGAGGTAAAGTAAGTACTCACTCTATCCGTGTCTCCATTCATAAAGGAAGGATCATAACAAAAGAGTCTCATATGAAGGGAGCTCTGGGGGCCTAGTCTAGAGCGAGATACACTTGCTATCCCGAGTGTTTCCAGCACTTGCAAGCCAACAATGACTCAAGCGAGAGTAATGGCTTGTCCCCTCCTGTGTGATTTACAGCTTCGGAAATCCAGTGAAGGGTCAGCTATGAATCAGTTCTCATTTGACAGCAGTGAGATAATATGATGAATAAGCATAAAATGCTATGACTATAGAAACTCTCATATAGAAACAGCACAACAAGCACTAGCTAATGCTATTACTCTATTCCTTCATTTTTCACAAGTGTTTCCTGCTAAATAATTTTCAGATCAGATAAGCATGGGTCAGTAAGAGCTATTAACACTTTTAAACTCTTCTCTCCCTCATCGGCTTCAATGCAGTAAACATAATTTATCCAGTTTTTCTCAGCCTTACCCCCACCCTGATGTCAGCCTCATTCTACAACAGTGGCACCATATAGTTTAAAAGTAATATATTTTAGGGCATTATGATTATCATAAGAGTCCTGAATGAGGGTTGCAGAGTGGAGTATACTTGGGATGGGGTTGGGGGTTTAGGTTTGCGGGGGGGATTATGTACCAGTGAAGGAGTTTTTCTTTTGCTTTTCAAGGAGAAAAGCGAACTGGGGATGGGGATGGGGTGGGTGGGGAGAAAAGTGCAACAATGAATGAATGAAAATCCAAAATCTCTATAGATGTTCATTGAAATTAATAAAAATTTTAAAAAGAGTTATTAACACATACTGACAAATAGATACTGTAAAGATTGCAAGAAATAAAAATATAGAAGCATCTTCTAAGTCTAGCAAATTAATTCACATAGTATTAAAAAAAATGAAGCTCTGGGAGCCTAGTAGCAAGAAGCTGTGCTGCAAACCCAAAGGCACATGGTTCAAGGCCACCAGCTGCTCCTCGGGAGAAGGATGGGCAATTAATCCCATGCTATTGACTGCCTCTGAACACCCACTGGAGGGTCAACTATGAGTCAGTTCCAACTCAACAGTACACAACAACAACATAAAGAAAAATAATAAATCACAGTAAACCATAATGGGCTAAATTACAAGATAGAGACACTGTTGTTTAGTAGTAGTAGTAGTAGTAGTAATTTTAATGAAAGTTTACAGACTCCAACAGGGTAAAAAGGGAAGCCACAGATTGGGGGGAAAAATACTTGGTAATGACATGTCAGACAAGGGACTTATATGTAGAATTTATAAAATATGTGAGCACCACAACAAGATAAAGGTAAATAACCCAATTGAAAAATGGGCATAGGATATGAACAGACATTTCACCAAAGAAGACATTCAGATGGCCCACAAGCATATGAAGAAATGTTCAAAATCCCTAGCTCCAAGAGAGATGCAAATCAAAACAGTTATGAGATATCATCTCACCCCAGTAAGAACAGCAAAATTTAACAGAACAGCACACATCAAATGCTGGCAAGGTTGTGGAGAAACTGGAACACGTATTCACTGTTGGTGGGAGTGTAAAATGGTGCAACCACTGTGGAAGGCGGTATGGTGCTTTCTCAAAAAGTTGCAAATAGAGATACCATTTGACCCAGCAATTCCACTACGGGGAATTTACACTAAAGAAACCATAACTGCCACCCAAGCAGATGTATGCACACCCATGTTTATTGTGGCTTTGTTCGTAATAACAAAGAGCTGGAAACAACCCAAGTGCCCAGCAACAAATGAATGGATAGAGAAGCTGTGGTATATACACACAATAGAATACTATGATGCATTGAAAAACAAGGAACTCATGCAATATTATTAAAAATGGGTGACTCTGGAGGACATTATGCTGAGTGAAATATCTCAGTCACAAAACAACAAATATGACATAGGACCACTATTGTAAAAGGAGATTGACATCAGGGTTGAGGAAAGACAGAGAAGATGGGGAGGAATGATGTATACGGCACTGAAACAGATGAGGGAGAGGACTGTTTAAAAGGGATATATGACTGGGTTTTATTGTCATGACAGGAGAGCAGAATGAAGGCTGCACAGTGGAGTGGACTTGGGGAGAGGAATTACATAACAATGAAAGAGTTTTTCTTTTACTTTTCAAGGAGAAGAGTGAATTGGGAGGTGAGGGGCAGGGAGAAAAGTGCAACAATGAATGACTGAAACCCTAAGTCTCTGTAAACTTTCATTCAATTAATTCTAAAAAAAGAAATATTTGGTTACTGCAATCAGCTGTTAGCTATTTTCCAAAGTTCAACAGGTTCATCTTTATATCATTAAAATATTTCAGTTGTATTAAAATACTGGAAGATCCCACTTATATTGAGGGGAGTTTGTCTTTCTTGCAAAAGCTTTGCCAATTGATTACTGACTCTCCAAAATTAACTTCTTTTGCATTGTTATTGTTGATTGCCTTTGAGCTGAGCATGACTCATGGTGATCCTATGAACAAAAGGCCTGAAGCCCCTCTGTAACTATCGACATTTATCAAAGTTAAAAGAGTTGCCAGAGGCATGTTATTTAGGAAGTGGATGCCACTCCTGCCTCTAATCTTTTGCACTAGGAACAATAAAATATTTTTAAATGTGAATAATAAAAAATCAACATTACCAGCTTTATGTAACTATTTATTTGAAGAATTCCCATTTAATCTGACTTTATTTCAATATCTACAGGTGGCCATATTGGTTCATGGAGAGTTACGAATTCAGGTAAAGTATGAACAAGGTCTTTGTAACTAATTGTTTGGGTTAAAAATATGGAAATTATGCTTAGAAGAAAATACACTTACTTATTGACAGTTGTTATTTGATAATTTAACAATAAAAATCCTAAAACTAACCCAACAAGATTTTAAAACTATTTTATTATTATTATTATTATTACTATTATTATTATTATTATTTACCTCATTCATTCTTGCTTCTTATCTAACTTAATCAACATGATTTCATTAAGCAGGTCATGGCTTCAGGGTAATTAAATATCATAGAATATATAAACAATGTAACATATAACTAAAATATTTTTAAGTATTTAGCCTTTCCACCTTGTTTGACAAGATGTCAGGTAGAGACAATTACACACTGATGAGTTGTAATCTTAAAACACAGAAGGTTCTTTAATCTAGGTGTCATTGGTCAAAACTCAAAGCAAACATGACCAATGATGTATATAATAAAATGGAATTCTTTTCTCATAAGACAAGAGGACAACATGGAGAAGATGAGAACGAAGTACAAGAAGTCAGAAGAAGGTATAAACGTGAATGGGTGAAATTTGCAAAACCCTGCAGAGAAGGAGAAGACAACTCAAAAAGAAACCCAATTGCTGAAGTAAGTCAGCAGAAGTAGCTGTCAGAATAAATGTATGATATATAAATGAATGTAATAAGGTGACTCCAACTACCAAAATGATGACCAAAGACTCAATAGAACAGATGACCTAGTGTTGTTGTTGTTGTTGTTATGTGCGTCAATAAAAATTACAATAACCGTAATGATACATGAGAGAGAAAATGATCATGCTTGACCTTCTAAAACTATAAATTTATCAACTGAATTCTTTTAATTTACTTCTATTAATTGATTTCTCATATATCATGTAATATATATGCTGATACAAATTCTAAGAGACCAATTGAAAGACTGTGGATACAATTAGAGAAATTGTAGGATTCAAGATTAAATAGGATTGGCGATGAAATTATAACGTTGACATTGGGTGATAGGATCTATTAGGTTCCATATCCTGTTCTTGATATTGTATTTTTTTTAATCTCTGTATTTTTTAATTGGAAACTAAAAGTTTCCACTAGTAATACCTGAATAACAACTAGTAAACAATAATAAAAATATAATTTCTTTCAGCGTACCTTTGACTTATAATATGCACTTTCTCTTTCTAAGACAAAAAATGTAAAAGTTACCAATAACTTTTCAATCCATCAAAATGAACAAATAAGACAATTGGGGTGGTGGAGAGGAGGGGAGAAGGATACTGAGTGATAACATCATAACATTGAGTGATTTTGGCTTCAGATTAGATCAGATTTCGAGCAATCCCAGAAAATTACCTACCATATTTCTGGAATAGGAATTGATCAGCCTCCTTTGGGAATCTTTGTTGTTGACAAAAACACCGGACACATTAACATAACAGCCATAGTGGATCGTGAGGCAACTCCAAGCTTTCTGGTAAGTTTTCGGCTTCAGCACTGAGCCCTCTTTATGTGTTATGACGTTAGAAGATGATACTTTGCCACTTGTTAATTTAAAGAAGAGATCAGCCCTCTAGATGCCCCATGAACCACATATAAATAATAGCAATAATGATTCTGTGGAGCCTGCACTAACTAGCGGACTCCTAAAGGATGAGTGGGAGGGGGCATGAGTGAGTTTGGAAGTCTAACACAGAGTTTGTCAAGAGCTTCACCCCCACCTAAGACAGTATCAGCTTTGATGGAAGGACTAGTTGTTTTGTCCAAAATGGACTTCCTTTCCTATTCTGTTTACCTTCAGGGAAAACATTTTTTTTTCCTTAGCAAAAGGATTCCATGTCAGGATAAGACCTATTCTGCACATTTTAATATTAGGTAAACTCAATTTACAAGGGTAATAATGAACACTTTCCCTCTTTCTTCTAGATCACATGCCGAGCTCTTAATTACTTAGGACAAGATGTAGAGAGACCACTTATTTTAACAGTAAAAATTTTAGATATCAACGATAATCCCCCAGTATTTGCACAAAGCATTTTCATGGGTGAAATTGAAGAAAACAGTGCTGCCAGTAAGTCTTTTACAGGATCTACTACTTTTAACAGCTTTATGTTAATCTGGGAATTTGCTTTCTAATATTTGTAGATGAGCTTAGTGCCTACTGCCATTGTATTTCTACGTTACAATGCTGTCATCAGATCAGTAATATATTCTGTGTATATAATTCACTAAGGCAAGAAAAAGATTTGATGCAAATATAGATAATCTGCATGTGTAAACTGGGGTTATAGAAGGTGGAGACACACGCACATTTGATAACTTGACAGACAAGTAAAAATAACAGGTATTTATCTCAACAGCTAAAAATTAGAGAAAACTAGAACGTTTTTACAGAAAGCAAGAAACATACCTGATTGACAATCTTAGTGAAAGAAATGGTGAGGAAAATGTGGTGGTGTTTTTGCTTTGCTTGAGGCATTTTCTTTGTGTTGTTCTTTAGTAAATTGATCTCTAAGATATTTTTTATTAAATTCTATTAGTTTTAATGAACATTTACAGAGATTTTGGGTTTTCATTCTTTCATTGTTGCACTGTTTTCTCTACCCTCCTCCCCAGTTCGTTCTTCTTTCCCCCCCCACCTTGAATGTCTGTTTTAATTGTCCAATTGCCACAGTGCTTGTCAAAGCCAGTTCTGATTCATCTCCTTTGTCAGTGTGTCCTTTGCTAAGATCTTTTTTTAAAGTGTAAGTTTGAAATTGTGTTAAATGTTTAATGTGAATGTAGTTTCATTTTTTACGTATATTTCTAGATTCCCTGGTGATGATATTAAACGCCACAGATGCAGATGAACCAAACCATCTTAATTCTAAAATTGCCTTCAAAATCATCTCTCAGGAACCTGCAAGCAATCTCATGTTCCTCCTAAGCAGAAACACTGGGGAAGTCCGCACCTTGACCAATTCTCTGGATCGAGAGGTAAAGTAAGGAACAGGGAGGCATTCAAGAAAGAGCTTAACTGCAACAAAGCAAAGACAGACACTTGATTTTATCAGAGAATAAGCAAGAATAAAGGCAAAAAATATTCCCTAGAACTCAAGTGGGTCAACTGAGGGAAATTGTATCTTTCTGTCTTGGAGTCACTGATGGGTTTAAACTGCCCAAGTCCAAGACAACCAACCTTTGGGTTAGCAGCACAATTCCTTAACGGTCATCAGTGCTTCCCAGAGGGAGTTACAAGACGGAGCAAAAAGAATACGGATGAAGACTGACCTTTGAGTAAAGCTCACAGGAAAAGGAAATTTTTAGGTGAAGGGAGAAATTTCCATCTAGCGTCAATCTCAAGTTTTCTCTGATATCACATTTTCTTCTCTTTGACATCTTTTAACTTTACTTTGACTTCCAATGGTAAGGAGCTCTGATGGTTTAGGGCACAACATGAAAAGCTGCTAGCCATAAAATTACTAGTTCAAGTCCACCAGGTGCCCCTCTGAAAAAGGTGGACAATCTCTTTTCTAAAGATTTCTATGTCTGGAAGCCTGATGGAGGTTTCTTCATGAGTCAGGATCTACTCCACAATGGTGGGTTGGATTTTTTTTTTCCAAGACAATAATGAATCCCTTTGCCTTCGCTTTTCCATGATTCTACCATCACCACCTCCAGCATCATATGTTGCCCTGTCAGATTCTATGTTATCTTTGTACAAATGGTTTTCAGTACAGACTAACATGGACGTTTTATGAGTGAGTTTCCATTAGATAAACAACTATCATATTCTTCACATCTTTGCTCTGAATATACTACCTTATCCTCAGAAAGCTTACAAAAGATGAAACTTATTCTGATCCATTAAAGATTTCCACCCAGTCATCAAAAGTTTCCTAACTTTTCTCTATTCTTCTGGCAAAGAACATTAACCTACTGGAAAATGAAGCATGACATTCAATATATTGACTCATTATTAGTAGAAAGCAAATAATTTGCATTTGTGTTCTTGGCACTGAAATGTAATTCTTTTCTTTTTTTCTTCCTCTAATTTAGCAAGTTAGCAGTTATCACCTGGTTGTGAGTGGTGCAGACAAAGATGGAGAAGGACTATCAACTCAATGTGAATGTAGTATTAAAATAAAAGACGTCAATGACAATTTCCCGATGCTTAAAGAGTCTCAGGTACACCTTTGATATCTTAAAGAATATGTCTTATAAATGTATATATTGTTTGGAATCCCTGAGTGGTGCCAATGGCTAAATGCTGGACTAGTAACCAACAGGTTGGTCCAGATTCAACCAGAGATGTCTGGGCAATGTGGTCAAGTAGACTCAGGCAGAGTGCAGCTTTATTCTGTACACTTAGGGTCTCCACTCCAAAATGACTAGTTAGCAGCTAACAATTTATGTTACTGTATCATTTACCTCCATAGTTCAATTTTTGTCCAATTATTATGTTTAATCCAGGGTCTCTGTGTTTTTCTTAAACAAATGCTTATAAATACAATAACCAGGAAAGAGACCATAAACATCTTTCTCCTTATTTTTAAAAACAAAATATTATTGTGTTTTTGAAGAGTAACACAGCACTGGAGCTTCCAAGTGAACAACTGCTTCCCAATACATGAATACAGATGTAATATTTCCATTGTGGTTGTTCTGTTTCCATTAATGTGGTTTCCCTACACCCTTACATTTTTTTTTTTTACTGAGGATTTAATGAAAGCTTATAGAGAATTTGGATTTCCATTCATTCATTGTTACACATTTTACTCCCTGTCCCTCCTTCCCCCAAGTTCACTTTTTTTTTTGGAAAAAAATTTTTTCATTATTATATAGTCCCCCTCCAGTCCACTTTATTATTCCAGACTCTGTCATGCCACTAATACCTAATCATATATCCCTTTTATACAGTTCTTTCCTTCGTCTGTTTTAATGCCATGTACATTACTTATCCCTTCTTTTCTTAGTTTCCCCCCAACCCCATGCCAGTTCTGTTTTATAAAAGTGGCATTATGCAGTGTCTGTCTTTTTGTGACTGAGATATTTCACTCAGCATACTGTCCACCAGGGTCACCCATTTTGTATAATATTTCATGAGTTCTTTGTTTTTCAGTGCTGCACAGTATTCCATTGTGTGAATATACCACGGCTTCTCTATCCATTTTGTTGTTGTTGTTGATGGGCCCTTGGGTTGTTTCAAATTCTTTACTATTGTGAACAATGCAGCAATAAACATGCATATGTTTATTGTGCACATATCTGCTTGGGTAGCAGTTCTGGTTTCTTTAGGATATATTCCTAGTAGTGGAATTGTTGGATCAAACATTTTCATGATATAAGAGTTAAGTGATCTCACAGAGAAGATTATTTTTAAAGGATCACAATACTCATAAGCAATAATCTTCATTCTATGGACACTACATATTTGAGAAATTATGATTAGCACACTAAATGTAAATGTCTTCAGGTCTAACACTGAATCTTGTTCTCTGCTCCTTTCTCCTTTAGTATACAGCACAGATTGAGGAAAATAGATTAAGTTCTGAATTACTTCGATTTCAAGTAACAGACTGGGATGAAGAGTTCACAGATAATTGGAATGCAGTATATTTCTTTACCTCTGGAAATGAAGGGAATTGGTTTGAAATACAAACTGATCCCAGGACTAATGAAGGCATTCTGAAGGTGGTTAAGGTATGAACTGGTCTCTCTTTAGTGATAACAATAGCCTATCAAGATTAACCAAACCTATAATTTTTACAAATAAACCTTATTTGATTCTTGTTTTTGTTATGTGCTATCACATGTCATCAAGTCAACTGCGACTCGTAGTGACCCTATCACAGTAGCTCTGAATCCCGCTCTATCCCGAGACATTCTCACTGCCTCTGATACACCTGTCCTCATTACTCCAGTTACTGTGTCAGTCCATCTCATCTGAGGTCTTTCCTCTCCTGTGCTGTCCCTCCACCCTTCCAAGTATGATGTCCTTCTCCAAGAACTGGTCCCTCCTAGAAACATGCACTAAGTATATGAGACAGAGTCCCAAAATTCTTGGCTCTAAGGAATAGCTTAGCTTCACTTACTTCAGGATAGACCTGTTAGTTCTCTTGGTAGTTCATGGTACGTTCAATACTCTTCTCCAGCACCACAACTCAAGCATCAATTCTTCTTCTATCCTCTTTGGCATTGTCCAGCTTCCTGATGCATAATAGGTAACTTTGAAGACCATGGCCTGGATCAGGCACACCTTAGTCTCCAGACTGATCTCATTGCTCTTTAGCATTCTAGAGAGGTCCCTCACAGCAGATTTTCCTAATGTAATTAATATTTTTATTCCCTGACTGCTGATGTGGAGCCAAGCAAGCCAAAGATAATACATCTTCATAATAAGCAACTTGGAAAGCAATTAAATAACATTTTTTTTAAATTGCACCGAAGTACTTTTACCTAAAGACAAATCCTTTTAGTATTTTATTTTACTTGATTCTAAGCTTACATACATTGCACTTGATATTTACTAATATTTTGGTGTCTACAGTGTACATACTTTAAACACAAGAAAGTAAAACACATTTTTTTAAACTTAATCTCATTTTCTCTCCACAACTGAACTACAGTTAGGAATAATTAAAAATACAGAGAACTGTGGCTTATGAATTGTCAATCTGTTTCAGATAAATTATCTATGGTCATCAGAGGAAAATTACTTCCCCCCTCAAAAAAAAAGTGGGAGTATATGAACTAAATCTATAGGAAAAAAATTAAGTAAGTGAAGTTTCCACTTAACATGCTTGGCTACACAGACTCCCCATCTGGGATTAAATTAAGGATATTTACACCTGGGATACAATATAGACTAGAAAAATATAACAATTATTTGGACACGTTCCTTGTTATAGGATATTTGTCTATAGAGACTGCTTCTTTTTCTAACTCCTTGAATCCAGTACAGAGATCTCTAATACAGCCCTGTAACAGAGAATTGCTGGATCCTGGACTACATCTCCTCATTCCTGCACTTTTCAGAGAGTAGGTTACAGCCATCCTCATGTGTACAGTCATTTTTATAAATTTCAAGCTGTGCACACTGCTTTCCATCCTGTGTTGTTGGTTTTTTCCTTATCTCACAAATTTGTGTCATCCAATCTCTCAAACTAGAAACTTGAGTTTTCTCCTTGGATCCTATTTATTTCCTTACAACACTCTGCCAGTCATTAGATTCTGTCCTGGAAGTTATCTCTGAAGTCTGATACTTTTCTACCTTCACATAACCCAGGCTCTATTCTCACCTTGTCTCCTCTCTCCTGAAAGACCTCTTGATTAAAGTACCTATCTCTGCTCTGATGGCTTAGTAGTAAGTAGTTGTGCTGCCATCACAAAGGAACATGATCCAAATCCACCCGCCGCTACATAGGAGAAAAATGGGCAATCTCCTCCCATGTGATTTACTGCCTCTGAAAACTCACTGGGGATTCAACTTTGAGTTGGTTCTGACTTGATAGTACACAACAACAACAAACCTCTATTTTAATTTCTTCTTCCTATCATTGGTCCACGACCACACTTTTTTTTTCTTAAAAGTAGCTTTGATGAGTCTTTCTTCCCTTTATAATTCTCGTTGGTTCTTTATTGGCTACGAAAGTGGTACTCAACCATGATTGCTTGTTAGAATCACCTTAGAATCACCAGGACCTTTTCCTAGAAAGTGGTACTGTATGAACTATTGATTCTGTTGGTCTGTGGCAGGAAAAGGTATTTTAAAATTTCCTTATGTCACTCATAGAGCTAGGGTTAAAAATTACCTGTTGGCCTTTAAAAGGAATTAAACTTTCTTAGAATAAAATACAAAAAAGGTTCACTACCATAGCTAGAATGCTTCCTATCAGTTTATGTGTTCCTTCTGTCACTTTGACCTTTACAAGGACTTTTCAACTGTACCCTTTAATTGGATAACTCCCCCTCTTCCTTCATAACTCAGTATAAGTGAATATCCCTCAGAAGCTTTACCCAACTCTCCCAAATAGAAGTATTCACCATTTGTCACACATCAAACGCTATGACTGGTTTTGTAAATTATCCCTAATATATAATTACTTTTGTTTTCCTCTCCATTGAAAGATGCTTGGACACACAAAGCTAGTTACCATACAGTTAAAATTCAAAACCAGATTTCTTTCCTGCATTATTAATAATAATGTAAAAATATAGCAAAAATGAGTCTTTCCTTATTTCATTACCATAAAAAGATTTACTAGTCAATGGAAAAAGCCATCCTAGGCCTCCAGAGGCTTTTTTTGGGGTCACTTTAATACGAGGGTCAAAGAAATAGTTATTGTACAAGACCACAGGAAAGTGTTTCCACAATGACTGGGTATATCACCCATGCATTGCTTTGTCCATGTACCTTTTTGTCAATCAAGGTTATTTAGAAATGTAGTCTTTTAAATCTTTTTAATTTTTTTTAAAAACATTACTGTACATGTATCTGGTGCCTTTTCTGTGAAACATCATAGCTATCATCTTTAAAAAATGTCATGTTGTTGTTTTTGTTGTGTGCTGTCTAATACAGCTCGTAATAACCCCATGAACAATGATGTGTTGGTTTCAATCTGCACACACACACAGAGCAGTGCTTCAGAAGAAAGATCTAGTGCTCTGTTTCCCTAGAGACTATGGACAAGAAAAGTCTACTAGTAATTCTACCCTATGGCATTTGGAGTTATTACGAGTTTCAATCCACTCAAGACTAACTGATAGGTTAATACTATGTAGTATAGAATTCTTTTGCCTTAATCTTGGTTTGGCATTTTCTCTTTTTTGTGATATTCTGTCCTTATCATTTTCTTTTCACTCTAGGCACTAGATTATGAGCAAATGCAAAATGCAAAATTTAGTATTGCTGTCAAAAACAAAGCTGAATTTCACCAATCAGTACGCTCTCAGTATCGAATCCAGTCATCCCCAGTCACAATTAAAATAGTTAATGTCAAAGAAGGACTTATATTCCGTCCTGCTTCGAAGACATTCGTTGTGCAGAAAGGCATAAGTAGGAAAGAATTGATCAAATATAAGTTGGGATTCTATGAAGCTATTGATGAAGACACTGGGAAGGCTGCTTCGTCTGTCAGGTAGGATGATTTTTACATCTTGTTTTTCCTTGGGATAGCTTTAATCTATATCAAATCTAAATCTAAACTGATACCAAATAACACATAGACTATGATAAAGCTAGAATATAAAGAAAAACAAAATAGGCCAAGATAAGTAACTGGATAACTCACAAAGACTTGTGTCATTAAAATATTAGAATACTACTCTTCACATATCAGCCATCTTGTTATCCAAAACTTTACATTTATGATGTTATAGTAAAAAATATTATCCAACTATCTTGCACTATAAACAAAATATGTCTGGCAGTAAAGGCCACTGAGATGCTAGGAATAACTTTGGCCATGACAGTTAAGGTCATGTGTCAACTTGGGTTGGTCATGATTCCCAGTGGTGCAAATTTGGAATTGTGTAATGATGTAGTCATCCTTCATTTTCTGATATGATATGGTCATTCCCCTATTTTAACTTAATGCCAATTTTCACAAAATGACCTGGTCTTTGGAAAATAATCATGCCAATAAGTAAGGAGTGGGTGTATTATGACTTTAGTAAGGATAACTTATTGTCATGGTATTATAAGTAAGAGGAAACTAAGAAGACATTTTATTCTGTCTAGAGAGAGTAGGGAAAAAAATTATCACAGAAACTTACAACTGAGTCTTGTGGGGAGAAAAAAAAATAATCATTTACCTAAATGACCTGGTTCAAACAGACAGAAGAGCATATAAAAATATATCCATGCCTAATACTTTAATAATAATCTATAAAGTAGCTACTATATTATAAAAGACAAGATACAGTAATTTTATTTCATTACACAAAAAAGAGAACTGAAAAATCAAGCTAAGATATGATTATTAACTACTCTTCATCCATGTGAATATGTTCACTCTCCATTTTTTAAACAAAAGCACAATGTCATACTTTAAATCTAACCATACAAAACACAAAATGAGTAATTTTCAGTAAATCTTTAATATCACATATTAGAAAGATAACTATTTTTTTTTACTATTAAACAGATATGTCATGGGGCGTAATGATGGTGGTTTCTTAACTATTGATTCTAAAACTGCTGCAATCAAGTTTATAAAAAACATAGATCGGGATTCTATTTTCATAGTTAACAGGACAATCACAGCTGAGGTTCTGGCTATTGATGGTAAGAAATGCATTTCAATCATTTTCAAAAAAAACTTATTTCAATTGACACTTGTTTTTGAAGAGATAGTTATGACTAGATTCCACCTAGGAAAATAGAAAGGAAAATTAAAAAATACTAAGATAAATGAGAAATGGCTCCAAATTTCAACACTGGCAGCTTTCAGTTTATTGGTTTTTATTTGTAACATTTTGGTTGGGTTTGTTTTGTTTTGCGTTGTTTTTTCTCAATAAACTTTAATAGCTTGGGTAATAAGAATTAATAGTGGTTCATTCCAAATAATTATTCAAGTTTTAGAAGCAAACATTTAAAAACAAAAATCACACCAGCCTCACTAAGTACAACACATTTTAAAAAGGCATAGTATTTGTGTTGGTTTCATTTGTAGTCAGTGAATTTGCCATCTTATAGACCTTCATTTTAAGTATACTGAATAATAAGTGTAACTAAAGTCGCATTAGTCAATGTGGTAAGTGTGCTGGCTTTTTACCAGATGTAGGAATGTTGCTGTTGTCATTGTTAGGTGTTGTCCAATTGACTACAACTCAAAAACAACCACGAGCTCCGACCCTTGTCCTACCCTATGCTGTATTCATGACCTCTTGTATGCTCTAGCCCATTTTTACAGTCACTGTGTTACTCTTGTTGAGGGTCTTTTCTTTTCTCTTGCTGACCCTCTACCTTTTCCAGCATGTTTTGTTTGTTTGTTTGTTTGTTTGTTTGTTTTTTCCCAAGGATCAGCCCCTCCTGAAGACATGCCCAGGTTTGTCAGATGACAATTCGCCATTCTTGCCTCTAAGGAGCACCTTGTCTGCACTTTCTCCAAGATTTAGAAACAGGAATCTTATAAGAAAACTAACTGGGCCACATACAAGAAGACTTCTTAAATTCATTTTCTTTTACACATGGTCTGTATCTTTCTTTAACTCAAAAATGTTGTTCCTACAGAAAATATGGGTAAGACATCAACAGGAACCATATATGTTGAAGTACCCGACTTTAATGAAAATTGTCCAACAATTGTCCTCCAAACCTCAGAAATTTGTACTTCATCACCTTTCGTGGCTGTGTCAGCTAAAGTTCTGGAGAATGAGAAATATACTGGTCCTTATACTTTTTCGCTGGAAGAGCAGCCTGTAAAATTGCCAGCTTTGTGGAGTATCACAGGACTAAA